GTATGAGTAATTGCTATTGCTCTTCTGTAACACGCAGTGCACAGACACACACAAACTGGCTTGCACCAGTGCTTTGTCGTGTCACTAACCAATGAGGCATCAGAGGGCCGCAGCACTGACCTGTATCTTGAGCATCTGTTGAACCAGCTGGGCAGGTCAGGGCGGGAGACAAACAACAAGTTTGCAGGAAGTTGCTCCGTTGTCCTTGGAGGCTGAAGGAGAAACCGGTTGGGAATTAAGGAGAGCGGGATCAGTAACAGTTGTCCCGCCCTTGTCTGCCCTCCTGGGCGTTTGTCCCCTCAGCCTATGTGGTCCTACCTTTCAGCTGGTTGACGCAGCAGGGTGTGTTTTCCGCCCGTCTCTCTGTTGTGTTATTGAGGAAGACAGGCTTGTCAGATCAGCCTGCTCTGGTGTGTTGGAAGGCCTCTGACTGACAGCTTGGCCTGACCAAGCTGTCACAGCCAAGTATCACAGACGCCCACTGTCTGTCAGAGAGAGAGATTACAAAGACAGTGACTGCTGCCTGTCTGTGTGCTGCCTGTCTGTCTATCTGACCGTCTGTCTGCCATGATAAAACTACCATCCCTTGGTCTAATGTGACATTTGTAGTTTATAGTTCATTGCAAATTCCTAGAAATGGTCTTACTTTTTAAACAAATACAGGCTGTAAGGCTCAGACTGTAAGGCTCAGGAATGACAAACTGCATAAGTCAACATGGGATTGAAGGATTTATTTTTATTAAGCATACTGGTGCAGTGATTGATGGTATGTGACAGCCAAAAATGAGTTTAAAAGTGCACAAGAATTTTGCATTTTTATCTTTCATTTGTGCAAAGAAGCTCTTTGATTATGTATCTCTTAGCCAAACAAGGACTTCACTCTATAATGTTTGATCATGAGCATGACAGAATGAGTAAGTTGCACCAGTCAATTCATATTCATCACCAAGCTGAGACCCAGCAGACAGTAAGACAAGGAGAAGAGTTCCTCTGAAGTGTGTATCAGTGATTGATCTGTTTACCCTCTTGAATCACTGAGGCAGAGCGCTGCAGTGCACTCTCACTCCCACTGAGGTGTCGCCAGACACAGACGAACCTCTCTTACCTCAACGTCTCCAACTGAGTTGAGGTCCCAGTGAGCCACTCCCGACAGTTGTATGGCCACGCAGGCAAACCAACCCTAGCCTGATGCTATCGTCACTGCTGCCTGCTAGGATCTTTGTTCTTGTTCTGGGAAGTGGCAGGGTGACACAGAGGGAGCGGTGGATGGCGTGGGCTGTGGCCTGATCAGGGAGCCGCAAAGGGACATAGCAGGGCTTTTCTTGGACTGTCCTGGCCAGGTTCTGTGAAGTATGAGAGTCGAGGCAGGGCACTGCTGGCACGTTTGGGATTTGCAGCTATCAGCAGGAGAGATCTGCACTGCAGAGTCTGCGGGGGGAGGGTAAGAGAGCGGGAGTGGGAATGAGGCTACTCTGGAAGCAGGGAAGCATGGCCTCAGATGGAGGAAAAACTGGAAAACTGGCTAGGTAATGACCAGATAAATCTCAACACCAACTGGAGTGCTTCGACCTTACTGGGAGTAGCATGTGTGTTCAATACACCGCCTATGAGGTGCTCAGTGTACTAAAACAGAGGCAGACAAATGAGCATATAAGATAAAGATTGATTAACTGTGCCTTTAGTGGTTAAGAGACTGATTCATCTATAGATTTGCACACAGATGGAGAAGTACCGCCCCCAACAAGTGGGTTTTTCACCTAAAATGTTAATCAAGGAGAAAAGTATATAATGTTCGGTCAGGACTAGAATATTATCCTTCATGTTGACAGATGCTTTGAGTATCATAGGAACATAATTTTTTATCACTTTCTCTACTCTTGAGGGCACCTTTACCTGTGCAAATTCCATATGAATATTGAATGTTAATATGCCTTAATTAAGCTGAGTTGTGGTTTGAGTGGGCAACAATGAGAAGCCATATACAGCTGTCATAGGAGATCCAAAGCGGGTGCTACAAGGAAGCCAACTGTCGTCAGTGATTTCACAGATGCCTGTTTGATTAATTTAAGTATATTTGGACATTGTGTTGAATGAGTGGAGATATTTTCATCTAGTTAAATTAGGAATCTTTGCTAATACAGTAATCTGCAGCTACACCAAATCTAAAGCTGCTTTAGTTTAAAAAAAGCCTGAGACGAATTATGAGATATTATAAAAAATACACAAAATCAAACCTAAGATTGTGTTGCAGGCTTTTTACCGCAGTCATCTTGGCGTCACAGGCTGACCTTGACAGTTGACATTTGATTATAAACTGATAAGGTTAAGAGCTTTCAGTTGATCATTTAGCAGTTACAGAAGGAGACTCTTTCTTGGTGTTTGAGTCATGGTAATAATGGCTTCAGATGTCATTAGCAGAGGAGCCTTTCTACCTCAATCAGCCACTCCACTGACCCAGCTCTCTCAAACTGATGAGTTTGGTGGTGCTTCATATTGTTCATCACCGGCAGTCAAGGTTGATACAGTATCATTAGTCACCGTCAGGCTAAAAAAGAAAGGTGTGTTACCGTTAAATCATTGTGTCAGTGCTTCAGAAATGAATATATAATGATATATTGATTTAATCATACAAGCTTTAATTAATAATTGATACAACTGTGTTTCATTTCATAAGACTTAGTACATATTATATTCTAAGTCTTATGGTAACAGCTTCATGGAAGAGCGTGGGCAGTGTGGCAGGAATATCACTTTGCTTAATGTTGTCATGACACTTCACTAAGTGTGTTCACATGTGCCAGAGCTGGAAATGCTTAGCTGGGCTTGGGTGCCTCTCTGGGGGCTGATTGGCTTGGCCCATTGCTGCATTTGGAAGATTAAACTGTGCTGCAGTACGGAGCAGTGGCCAGGGCCACAGGATGTGGGACGGAGGCCCAGGAAGGACAAAAGCTAAGCAGCATAAACAAGAGATGACCTTCAGAACGGGACAAAGAGGCTTGGAGCTTAGAATAGAGAAACTTAACTCTCACCCTTGTGCACAAGACTTTGACAGACATCCACGTGTGTCTCTTTTTTCTGGTCTTTGCTGATTCATCATTTCATTGCGATAACAGACAATGATCTTGAATCATCTTTCATTGCTGCCAAATTTGCCTCGGAGCTCTCAGGGCTGTCAAGTGCTTGTGCGGCAGCAGGCAGCATTGTTCAGGATGTCCAAATAATGCTGCATAATTTCAGCTTAATTGCATCAGGCAATCATTTTTCCCCCCTGCTGTAGATAAACAAAAATAAGAATCTCTTGTGCATTCAGCAGAGAGCCGGGGGAAGCCGGGGGCATTAGCATGGGAGGCGATAGTCATCAGGGAAGTTAATCTGCGATAAGATGAGACCACCTGGCAAGGTCAGAGGCAGCTCTCCCAGAAAGAATGATTCGCCTCATTGGGTATGATAGACGCCCTCTTATTGTAAAATACATAGCAAGCCGCTTTTATCAGACGATAGGTATCCCTTTGATAACACAGATCACATTAACATTAAGGCAGACGGCGTCACCAGTACAGGGTATATTGGCAATAAACTGACAAAGGACAATATGAGAAAGTGGTGTAATATATGAGAAGTGCGGTGTAATGATAAGTCATAGTGTAACTCCAACTTAAGATAGACTTATCCTTGTCTTCGGGAGGCCTTTTTTGAAGTGTGTTCTATATTCCAGTCAGTAGTGTACAGTGCAGATGAATCGGCAAAAGGCTCCCTGCGGCACATCATTACCTCTGGAGACACCATTAGGGAGATCCCTCATTTTTAACTTGTTGGAAGGCAGAAAGTTACAGAAGATGCATGGTGCATTATACAACCGTTATGAAACAGAGATGATCTGGGGTTCTTGCTGTGGTCATGTAGTGTTGTTTTCTGTATAGATATAGGTCCTGTTTGGCTCAAAGAGGGTCTAAAATGATTTATTAGGGCTTAAATGATGATAAAGTTGGAGTTCTTAGTTAGTGTTAGTCTTACCAAAGATATGTTAATGTATCATCAATACACAATTTAACTGAGGAGGCAGATAACCTGTCTGAATGAAGATCTGCTGCATGAATAATGTATCTATCGTTATCTGCAGGGTAAATGTCCATGTAGAGGACAATGAACAATTACATGTTGCATTAGAGCTTATTAAATTGTATACTTTGATGCACAATTATTCAGCTTTCTATTGTCTCGAGGAGACAATAGAAAGTGTGTCCATAAGTAAGTTTAATGACTCAAGGGAACAAAACGACCTTGGTAAGTGAATCTGTTTTGGAGTGGGTGTGAGTGGGACAGAAAACAGCACGTCAACACTTTGCTTCAATTCACACATTACTGAAGTATGGTGGCTATCATTTTTTGACAGGAGCAATAGAAAAGTTAAGTGTTGCTGTGTGGGCTGTGTGCGCTTCGGCAAACACGCACACATACACACGTCTTTGTAACTCGTGAGGTGGAGAAGAGGTCTTGGATTGGATATCAGATCTGCCCTCTTTTGTCCTCTGTTAGGCTGCAGCCTGTCACACTTGATCACCACATTTTTAACTCAGATGTCTGATTGATTACCTTCAGGTTCAATTAAACTGTGAAAGCAGCTATTTTTAACCAGAAAAGGATGTCAAGACATGGGTGACCTGAAGTCATTCGTGCACAGATAAAGAGTCCCCTCTAAGAGCTCTTAGATCAGATTTACTGCAAAAGATAATCAAATTATTTGATTATTTATTGAATTATGTATAATGCTAAGCTATATTCTATATCAGAACATGTAGAAATACAATAGGTGGAGAAAATGTTTTAGGTAAAATGTGCTTGAATCAGAATGGTTTAATGTGATAACTATATAATTTAAAAGAGACCAGCATTCCTTTAGTTGGAGCAATAAAAGAAACAATAAAAAATTTGATCATACAACAAATTTGCAATATCAGTGTGTTTAACAGTCAATGTAAAATGTTTGTGTCCATCTATAGGAGAAGATCGCACCAGGGAGAATGTGGTTGGCACCACAGACGCACACTCGGCTGGCGGAACGGCAGGAGCAGAGTCCGGCTCCAACAAACGGAGGCTCCACTGCTGCATCCGAGTAACAACTGTACAGGTGCGCAAGGCCTTGTGGGGAGTCGCCATGGTGATGTGCGTCTGCTCCTCCTGGGCAGGGTCCACCCAGCTGGCTAAGCTGACCTTCAAGCAGTTTGACGCCCCCTTCACCCTCACCTGGTTTGCCACCAGCTGGAACTGCCTCTTCTTTCCCCTCTATTACATCGGCCACCTGTGCAAGAGTCCAGAGAGGCAGACGCCCAGACAGAGATTCAGGTGAGAGGACTGTCACTGCATCACAGACAAAACAGAAGTTAGAAAGTGCGAGAGGAAGAATATAATGAAAGAGGAAGATAGAATAAATAGAGAAGTCAATGTATAAAACAAGGAAAACAAGTGTATAATCTATAAAGTATGAGGAAAACAAAACAAAGAAAACAAGAAAACAAACTTGACCTTGGAACAGCAAGAAGTTCCTGCTCTGAAAAGCTCTGAGGCTCCTGCATAGGGGTCAACTTAACAGTGCACACTATCAACTCTAAAACACAAACTATTATATTTTTTTGGTTTATTTTATTGCTCAAAGTTTATATCCACACACCATGATATGAAGTCAAAATATTTCATCTGCTACAACAGAAATGTAGAAATCAGAAAAATATCAACAGTAAATATCAAGTCAACTACAATCACAGAGAATTGTTTTCTTTCTACACTCACCATTGACTTCAACAATCATATAATTTCACCTCATATAGACGACAGCGATTTTTCCATCAGCAGTAGCCTCAGTGAACCAGAATGCAATGCAGTCATTAGAAAGCATTTTGTGGAAAGTTGTTTTCTCAACTGATAACATAGTCTCACTTTTCATCTTTAAACAGTTAAATTCCTACAGCTAAAACCTTTTTGAAAAGCCTAACCTAGGAAAAGAAGGGTCACAAGACAAACAGAGCAAAAACCACCAGAAGAGAAAACATTCCTGCTACACAAAATGTTGTTTTTCCAGACTTTTCTTTCATCTTGGCACTTTTCTACAGCAAATTATTGGATACATTTGATCTCTTCAGACCAATAAAAATAAAATAAAGTGTTCACAAATAGTATGAATTTGGAAACCAGAGATCACCATCAGAATAAATCCAATAAAGACGTCAGTTTACCCACAAAACAACATTAAACATCAAAGATATATGATATGTAGCAGTGTACCAGTGTGCCCATATAGTGACCAATAGTTAATACAGTTTCTTATCAAGACCACACATCATGTTTAATCTGTTTGGCCAGTTGCTTATGATTAGAATAGCAGCACTCTCATAATTTGGGCGTATTGATAATCTCGCTGAAGGAGCTAGAGTTGTTTACCTTCTATTTTTGCTGGTTAGTTATGCACAGTCACTCTCTTTTCATATTTGATTTCCAAAAATAGCCCACCACTTAATTTGGAATATCAGGTTTCCTTGCCATCTTTAGTTTAGCTGCTGCACCAAACAGAAAGAATGCAGTCCTAAATGCGTTAGAAGTGCTTTCACACTTGAAAGAGTCCATTAATCCTGGTCTGTAGACAAAAGTCTTATCTCTGCTACATGCTGTGCTACTTTCGTATAGAGAGACAAAGAGTGGGGTGGTTGGAAGGTGTGGTGTGTAGGTGAGCGGGGGGTGGGGGGGGGGGGGGTCGATTCTGTATTTCTGCTGCACCTCTGTGATGTAATTCTTCCTTTTTGAGGGCTTACACGAGGATCTGGGGCTGCCACTCCTCCGCCCGCTGCTGACGTGCTCCGAATATCAAACAGTCTGTTTTCCTTTTGTGTTCATTCAAATTGCACCTGCTGGTGAATCTCAGATGATGCAGAGAAATAGAGGCAGAGAGTTGACATTTGTAATGGCTGTCCTGTCTCTTTATATAAAGTGGTGGCCAAAGAAGAGGCAAAGACCTGACAGTGGTAATAGCTGGCTTACCTCCTCATATATATAAGTGGAGAGGATTTACACTGTAAGAGGGAGATGCTATTTATTATGCTGTATCTGTTCATCGCCTTCCCTGCTGTACTGAGATTTACCTGATACCTGTTCATGTTCTGACTTCAATATAAGGAGTCCATGCTTCTCTTTAATGTATTTTGAGAAGGTTTGCCTGTTCTTGGTTATTATGAAACTCTTTTAAAAGTCCCTTTAATTAGATGTGATTAAAAGCTTAGAAAAAATCTCATAAGTAGGCATTGAGGCTCTGTCTTCGTCAAACTTAATTTTACATCATCATCGTCATCATCATCGTCATCATCATCATCATCATCATCATCTATTGCTGATTTTGATTTGCTCAGTACCAAGGGAACCAAATCAAAATGATGTCCAGGCTCTCTGAAATGACCGACTTGCTATCTTAAATACTTTGATTTGAAATGCATTGCCTTTAAAGTGTAACTGTTGACTTCATGAGCTGCTAGATGCTTTAAAATCTTTAAAATCTTTAAAATCTTCCATAACACATTTAAACCTTCTTTTAAACTATGTGTAGATTACAGACCCACAAGTGCAGAACAGCAAAGCAGAAACAGACAAAACTCTTATTGAGTTGGATTTGAAGGTGGTGTATCCACAGCCTGTAATGAAATGATGACAGACTTTAATGTGATTGTCACTGAATTGGTGTTTATAAAGTGGGTGTGAGCAGTGTGTTTTTAGCGCAAACTCAGCTCTCTGGAGCTGATTCATAATAACAGTGCCGCTCCTCAGTATCCGGCAGGACAAATGTGCTACCTGCCACTCCTCATTTATTGCTGCTTCATCACTTTCACAGGGCCAGATGCTTTCGGGGTAAACTGTGTAACTCAAGAACAGTATAGCAGTCAAAATGCCAGTGTCTCAAAAATGCAGTAATGTTATATTTTTGACTCAGGGGAGTTGTGTAATTTGGGAGTAGAAGAAGAAGTATTTTTTTGCACCGCAGCATAGTGATGCAACGTCACGACTTATTGAGTAGTACATTTCAAAACATAGTAACAGAGGAAAGGATCACGATTACTTATTTTGATACTGATACATGGTGTTGTGGGTTTGGTTCCTCTTTCCCACTACAGTATGACGCATTGACTGGGGCTCAGGCCAATAGCTTTAGATTTTCAGCAATGTCAAATATTTGAAACTCTTTTCAAGCCCAGACTTAAGCCAGAATTGATTGAAGATTAAAAGCGTCTATAATATATGACAACGCATCCTACCTGGCCAGGAGTAAAGCCCTTGAAGTTGATTAACAAAATGTCAAAATGTTTCAGTTTTGCTTCCAAAGTACGTCCAGTAACACTGAGCTGACTATTATTCCTTATATACTGAGTCATCACAACTGTGCCACAGATATTCAATATATGTATATGTATATATGTATATATCTATCATATGCACAAGTACCAGGGACAGTAATTTATGTATGTTCCTACTGTATTTATAAAATATTGACATGTTGGAGCCTCCAGCATTATGCACATATGGAACTTCATTCCCAGGAACTGAACCTTGAGAGCCTCATAAAGAACAAGGAAGAAAGACAAATAAAACCTTTTTTCATTAGACTTAACAAACTTCTGCCTCTTGTCAAAGTAAAGACTGCAATATCTACAATATTTTTCAAATTGTGTAATATATTGTCTCAATTTCATTTCTTCTATGTTGTATCTCTGGACCATTACCAGAAATTGGCAATGACACCTGAGGGGGAAATAAATAGTTTAGTTTCAGCAATGGAGACAGCTTAACTTAAGCTCAGAAATATTTCTCTTTAATGCCTCATGGTAGATCTGATTGTATTCATAAATATTTACATGTTTCTCCATTAGAGTAGAGTTGGTCCCACATGCACTGTAATGCAATGTTCATCTAGATGTAACTGGTAAAATGGGAATCACTTTACACACGTTGTGCTGTGTCATGGTCTCCCTGGTATATTTGTTCAGAAAACTGTTCATAAATACTGATTAAAGTCGCAGACCATAATAATATTTATCAACTCTTAAATTAGTTATACCACATTTTGAAATGTTCTAACACCATGCTCTGCATTGTGTCTCTGCAGGGAGTGCTGTAGGTTTTTCGGGGACGACGGGCTAACACCCAAGGTGTTTTTCACCAAGGTGGCACCCTTTGGCCTGCTGTGGATCCTCACCAACTACCTGTACCTGCAGGCCCTCAGGAAGATCAACACAACAGACGTGTCAGCGCTCTTCTGTTGTAACAAGGCCTTCGTCTTCCTGCTGTCTTGGATTGTACTCAGAGACCGCTTCATGGGGGTCAGGGTGAGTACATCTGCCTGCGTTTGTCTGTGTGAGTTTTGTTGACTTTCACTTCCTGAAAGAAAATGTTGCTGCTGCATCTTTAGATAAGAGTCAAGCACAGGTCCACAAAACACAATGTGGATAGTAAAATAATAATTAACCCTCTGGGCTGCAAACTTTCAGCTTTAATAAACAAAATAATGACAAACAAAACAAGCAAACATTACAATAAAGTCATTTGCATAATGTAATTATTATACAATTACATATAAAATAAAAATAGAAAATTCTATTAATGAAACATTTGTGTCCATGTGTTATTATGTCTGCTTATATAAGATTACATTTTTATCAATGTAGCTTTTGTTTTTTGGAAACTACAATATGTAGAAGTATGTTCTTTCTTCTGTCCCATCCTGTAAATCATCTTGCTGCCCCTCATGTTTATCTTGTGACCCCTTGGACGAGTAACGACCTCACGGTTGGGTGCCATTGACAAGGACCAGAATGTTTGCTGTGCTAAATATCTATTTAAAAATCTATTTCTGTTTGCATTATCTGTGATAAGACGATATTGTCTAATAATATTGCCTCATTCTATATGTCATTCTATGTTTAAAACACAGTGCTGTTGCAAAGGCTTGCTAACAGAGAGATAAAAAGATGACCTTCACTTGCCCTTAGGCTTTTTATTATGTCTGTCTTTGCTTTGATGGAGAGAAAGAAGCCCACCGTGTCCTCTAACTGTCCTAAGTGTATCTTAGCACCTCTGCATGAGTTAACTCATAATAA